TAAGGTAATGACTCTGCCATCCGCACGTCTGAAAGGTAGTGTGGGTTTATTGATAAAGGAGGCGAGCTTGTGTTGATTCGAAGCAAGGGAGGAGGGGGGGGAGGGTGCTGTGTGTGGATGGGTGGTGGATGGGGCAGAGGGTAACCTCTGTGTATGCGCCAGTGGAAAACGATGTGAAAGTAAAGCAGGATTTTGTATATGATGATCTAGTTTTCTCCTTACATGGTTTATCTGCGGTAGCCATCGTTTGTGGGGACTGGAATTGTGTTATTAGGAGGGCTGATATGGGAGGTGGAGGGCGTGGGAGGTAGAGAATACTTACGTAAGAGGGGTTATGCGGCTAGGTTAGATAGGTTGTATATATCTCACGGGGTCTTGTCTAAGTTTGTCCGTACAATAGAAGTAGCTTTTTCAGATCGTGCAGTAGTGGCAGAGGTGGAGTGGGAGTCACTAGCTGGTATCTCTAGGGGATACTGGAAGTTAATACAAGTATGTTAGGAGATGAGGAGGGGTTGGAAGGTTTTCCAACACTGAGGGAGGGGTTAAGTGAGGAGGTAAAAGGGTTGGAGGATGTGGTGACCTGGTGGGGCTAAGGAACGGATTCGGCATTATGTGCGAGACGGGAAACGAGGACAGGTTAAGCAGATGTTATGTAAGGGGGGGCGGTGGCGGGTACTTATCCAATAGACGACATTATGGCAATTAAGGGGAGGCTGTGCGAAATACAGGACGAGAGGTTCCAAGTGGTGAGGGTAATTGGGCAATAGGCTGTCGTGTCTATTGCGTAGGCAAAAGCAAAGACAGCATGCAACGGCTATTCCGTGGTTGGAGGTTCGAGTCGGTGGTTGGGTATAGGTTGGGTCAGGTTATACAAGCTACAGATGTGATGGGGCATTTGCAGAGAAGTGATATGAGCAGTTTGCAAAGGGAAGGGGTAGTAGCTGGGGATTTAGAACATGTGTGTGGGAGTGTGATATGTCGGTTGGGAAACAGTGATAGGGTGGGGAAATAATTACGGGGGAAATATGGAGGGCTTTAATTGAAATGCGAAAGGGCAAAGTGCCAGGAATCGATGGACTACCGACAGTTCTATCAACAGCATTGGGAGCTAATGAGGGGGTTTTTGGTTAGGTTATTAAATTTAATGAAGGATAGGGGAGAATTTGGAGAAAAGCAGGCAACGGCTGTAGTAGCCTTGGTACCGAAGGGTAAGTGGCAGCGTACACTTGGGGATTACTGGGCATTATCGTTATGCACAGATTACAAATTGTTCGCTAAGATTTTGGGAAATAGGTTCAAGTACATAGTAGAGCAGGTTGTATCGAGAACTCAGTTTGGGTTGCCAGGGAGGTCTATGGTGGAGGGGCATGGGTTACTACAGAATTTCGTGGAAGAAAAAGGGGGGGGGGGTTTGGTGGCACTAGACTGGCAAGGAGCATATGACAGTGGAGCAAGAAGCGTTGAGAGCTATCCTTAGGGAACAGGGTTTTGGGGAAGAAATAGTGGCATGGGTAGATGCGTTGTATCGTGGAGCAACAGCGAGGGTACAGATTAATGGAAAACTGGAGGGGTGGGAGGATTGTAATGGGTAGGGGACTTCGACAGAGGTGTTCTATGTCACAGCTATTGTTCGCGTGCATACAGGACCCCTTTCATAGAAGGGTGGAGCAGCAAATGTGCATTAGTGGGGAAAGGAGTGGAGTTGGGAGGGTTTGGCCAGTCCTGATAGGTTATGTAGATGATACTACTGTTCTGGTTAGGGAGGGGATGTCACTGGACGCCTTAGATGGGGTAGTACACAGGTTCGCAGGTGCAACTCTTATGAGAGTGAATTCAGAACAGTCGATGGTCATTGGGTTAGGAAGTTGGATGGGGAGGGTTGAGTGGGGTAGTGCAGTCGTGAGGTGGCGGATGAATGTTAAAAAATTTGTGATCTTGTCTATGCAGACGATCTGGATGTTGCACGTGTGGAAAATCTGTTAGGTTGGTAGACAGTATTGTGCATCGCTTGGGAGCATCGCGGCCTTATCTGACCCTTGTGCAGCGTGCCATTGTTATTAAAGTCTTATTGTATAGCAAGGTATGGCACGTGGCAGCCATGTTCCCTTTAACTAGGACGGCAATAGCGAACATACTTAGGATTTTTAAATTCTTGTAGGGTTCGGGCTGTGATTGGCTTAAAAGGGAAGTGGTAATGTTACCTTTGCGTCAGGGTGGGGTTGGGTTTGATGGTTTTAAAGCAGAGGCTCAAATATATCTTCATTAAGAGAGGTGATGAGGAAAGGAGTTGGGGGAGGGGTTTGGTCAAGATACACAGTAGGTTGAAACATATGTATACTGGGGGAGAGTTGCGCGAGTGTGAAAATGCTTTAACCCGTCGCTGGCTTCCTCCATCTTGTAGGTAATGTTGATTTTCGCCACCAGAGGGCCAGGCATGGAGCATACAAACGCTCACCTCGGTGGCAACTAAGTTAGGGGTTTTATCATATGATTTCCATGTAGGGGAGAAGCACTAGTTAGAGTGCTGGTTACTAATTAAGGGACTGGAATGTCTCCCGCCAAGGCAGTGTACAACTCCCGAGTAGTATACTGCCTTGTACTCTCATGCTTAGTCTGAGTTCTCTACTCATTTTCCGAACCCTGGCATGGGAATATCTATGAAACTTCCTGTATGAATAATTTGGACTTACTGTTTCTGTGAAGACATTGACACGAGTTGTGTTAGCAATATATCAGTTATTATATATCTTACATTGATTGTCTAATTCTACTAATAGCTGTATATATAGTTACACCTTTTATGTGTGAAGGGAGAAATGAAGAATTTAATGCTCTAAATTAAGAGCTAAGTTTTATTATTAAAGACATATTACTCATGAGTTTTGGTCATCCTAAAAGTAAGGTTAACAAAGAAAGTATTTGGTTAAGAAAGCTATTGCCGCACTAAACCCTTGTTGCCACTGGAGCTCTTCCATAGACAAAAGTCAACATTCAAATTCATTCCCCAGCAAAAGGTTCAGTGACCCAATGTAACCCCTTCATACACAACACCTGACAACACTTCACCTTGTCAACACCGTGTCGTCACAGGCAACACGGTTACCCTTAACACTGTCCTCCCTGACAACACTGCCCTAACTGACAACACTGATAGTGATAAATATGGTGGTTATTACAAAAAAAGTATTCTTTAAAGATGGCAAGTTTTACTCCTTTTGCAATAAAGAGTTCGGGATACATATACATTAAAATCCATTGATTTTTATTATATAAAAACAATTTTTGGTCTAGGAGGTATTCAAAATATATCTACACGTTACCATAATAAATTATTAGCATCTTAAATATATATAACTATGCTAAAATAAATTAAGTAACATTTAAAATAATAAATTACAATTTACTGCGTTTCTCACGACACTTATCCGAGTTGTGACGCTCTTTCTCCACCGTGTCACTTTACACCCTTTTCTCCGTGTAATACACTTTCGCAACCGTGTCACACTTGAAACTTGTCTCTGCGTCACACTACCCGCATAGCGTCTTTGTCGAGGCCAGTCACATGACACTCCTCAATGTACACTACAACCAGGCCATCTTCAGTGTCAAACGACACCCTTTTCTTCTCAGTGTTCCACTACGGTCCTGTAGCATATCTCAGTGTTCCACTCCATCATACTTACCTAAGTGTCACACTACGGTCCTGGCCCAGTTCAGTGTAACAACCTTTTCTTCATGTAATGTCCCACTAAACAGCATCAGATGACTCTGACCCACAGTTGACAAGCGTAGGGGGTGAGCCCCGCAGACATCACCGGCAGTCCTGTAAATACTCTCCAAAGCCGGTTGACAAACCGCAAGGTGGTCCGGTGCAGCGCACACAATGTTGCAAGCTCACTGAATGTGGCCGTCAGATAACTGAGGCCAACAGACTCAGTGAGCTGCGGTGAGTGCTTCTTCTAAAATCAGTAGAAGCCAGTAGAATACTCTAGTGCCAGTAGATGTGTACCATTAGGTGTTCAGGTACCTACTGCTTAGCTGTGTACCGTGAGGTGTTCAGGAACATAATGCTCTAAGGCAGGCTCAGCAGTCCCCACAATGGGTTTGATGACGTACCCAGTGGTACTGCCGGCCGGCAGGTTAACTATTTAACTGCTAGTTTGGCAGGGGGCCGTAACAGTGGTGATAGTGACAGTATAGTGTATCACTACAGTGGTGATAGTGACAGTATAGTGTATCACTACAGTGGTGGTAGTGACAGTATAGTGTATCACTACAGTGGTGATAGTGACAGTATGGTGTATCACTACAGTGGTGATAGTGACAGTATAGTGTATCACTACAGTGGTGATAGTGACAGTATGGTGTATCACTACAGTGGTGATAGTGACAGTATGGTGTATCACTACAGTGGTGATAGTGAAAGTATAGTGTATCACTACAGTGGTGATAGTGACAGTATAGTGTATCACTACAGTGGTGATATGACAGTATAGTGTATCACTACAGTGGTGATATGACAGTATAGTTTTACACACAGTGGTGGTATGACAGTATAGTGTATCACTACAGTGGTGATAGTGACAGTATGGTGTATCACTACAGTGGTGATAGTGACAGTATAGTGTATCACTACAGTGGTGATAGTGACAGTATAGTGTATCACTACAGTGGTGATAGTGACAGTATAGTGTATCACTACAGTGGTGATAGTGACAGTATGGTGTATCACTACAGTGGTGATAGTGACAGTATGGGATCCCCTACAGTGGATAGTGACAGTATAGTGTATCACTACAGTGGTGATAGTGACAGTATAGTGTAACACTACAGTGGGGATAGTGACAGTTATAGTGTATCACTAAAAGTGGTGATAGTGACAGTATAGTGTATCACTACAGTGGTGATAGTGTCAGTATGGTGTATCACTACAGTGGTGATAGTGACAGTATAGTGTATCACTAGAGTGGTGATAGTGACAGTATAGTGTATTGCTACAGGTGTGAGAGTCTCAGCAGCAGCAGTGTCAGCAGCAGCCGTGACGTCACTACCTAGCACACACGTGGTGCTGGAGCTGACTGACGTGAGTGATGATATTGTGAGTGATGCCTGTGACCTGATCCAGAAGCTACAGCCACCAGGAGGGTGAGTCCATCACTGTTGTTCTTGTGTTGTGAGTGAAGTGGACCAGGAGCTATAACACCAGGAGGGTGAGTCCATCACTGTTATTCTTGTGTTGTGAGTGAAGTGGACCAGGAGCTATAACCACCTGGAGGGTGAGTCCATCACTGTTGTTCTTGTGTTGTGAGTGAAGTGGACCAGGAGCTACAACCACCTGGAGGGTGAGTCCATCACTGTTGTTCTTGTGTTGTGAGTGAAGTGGACCAGGAGCTACAACCACCTGGAGGGTGAGTCCATCACTGTTGTTCTTGTGTTGTGAGTGAAGTGGACCAGGAGCTATAACCACCTGGAGGGTGAGTCCATCACTGTTGTTCTTGTGTTGTGAGTGAAGTGGACCAGGAGCTATAATCACCTGGAGGGTGAGTCCATCACTGTTTTTCTTGTGTAGTAAGTGAAGTGCACCAGGAGCTACAACCACCTGGACGGTGAGTCCATCACTGTTGTTCTTGTGAGTGAGGTGGTCCAGGAGCTACAACCACCAGGAAGATGAGCCCATCACTGTTGTTTTTGAATTGTGAGTAAAGTGGACCAGGAGCTACAACCACCAGGAGGGTGAATCCATCACTGTTGTTCTACTGTTTTCAATGTTGATGGTGGGGTCACTGATTGATGATGGTGGTAGTGGTGGTTTCATTCGCTGCCTGACCACGGTGGAGTGCGGTAGTGCTCGGCACCCCTCTGCTGTTTCAGGCGAGCTACCTCAGTTCGTCACAACCATTGAGAAGTGAGGACGTGCGCTGCTCATTTACCAACATGGCGCTGCAGAGCTACAGGCGCATCAACACTGTTTGCGTTGAGTTGACCCGTGGGGCTGTCACCGGAGCCACGATGGACTTGTTACTACCGGCGATTATCCGTGATACCTACGGTATCGCAAATGAAGAGAAGTGGTGTAGCACTTTAATTTGGGAACGACACGGATCTTTCACAAATGTTTATGAAAGCGTGGTGGATAAGTATCAAAGACCATTATAGCCGTCAATTCAGCTGTATCATTTACGTCTACAGATGTATCACGACACACAAAAATGGTTAAAATAAGGAATGTGCCTTTGAGCGAATAATTTGTTATAAAAGATGAACTACGTAATTATGGTACGGTTCATATGGCCTCTGTAGGTGGGTGGGCTGCGGTACCTTATCCCTGGAATTGGAGGGACATATTCAGTCAAAATGACCTTACGCCTCCCATACCGTCCTATATTATGTTGCAAGCATTTCGAACTCAAGTATATGTAACATATCGGGGCAACGTCGACGTGTCGGCTGTGTGGGTCGTAGACCACATAGCGCACAGTGGGTAAGCGTCGTGGGAATCCCAAATAATCGAAAACACAACAACCGAAGAAGGTCGAGGAAGTTGAGGGACAGAACAGTCAAATGCTCACCCGTCTCGACAACGACATCTTGGATGAAAGTAGAAAAACGCAGGAGAATGCTTTGGAGGATGAAAAACAGCGAGAAGAATCACCATCACTGGACATAAATAAAGTATTTGAAGAGACTCTGCCCACTAGGGGGGACGAGGATGTAGCGGCGCTTTAGTGAAGGCACTGGATGTATTGTTAGACGAGTCGATCGTCAACCGTGTGGAGGATCCAGGTGCAAATTTGGGATGGGTTTGAGCATCATGGTGAGGCGAGGGATGAAAGAAATTGAGTCTGGGGTGTCGCATGGTATGATGGTGAATATAGCAGAAGTGGAGGTGCATCATGAAAAGTACAAAGAAATCCCAATGCAGGTGGAGGGTAGGACGCGAAGCGAACTGCGACCCCACCAGACTCAGACGACGTGCTTACTCCTGCCCAAAGGCCAGGGAAAAAGTCTTGGGCGGATGTACAGAGGAAAGGGAACAGTGAATCCACGAAACAAGAGTTTATCAAGGTGATTCCCAAAAAAGGGGAGGGATAGAGGTGTAAAATGTATAAGTGAAAAGTCTATACCTAGAACCAAAGGAAAATCTCATTAATTGACTTTAAGGTTTTGACAATAAATAATTAACGGTTTTTAGATCTGAGCGGAAGCGAAAGTGGTTAATGAATTTTGGGGCGTCTAGATGTGGATGTGGTATTTATCCAAGAACACAAATTTCGAATTGGATATGAGTTAGAAATAGATGGTACGATGTGTATATGGAATATGCGACGAGGTTAAAAAAGGGGGCGTCCCATTCTAGTAAAGGAAAATAGCCCGTTTGTAGTATGCCATATGAAAGGGGGGGGGGAGAGTGATTAGGGTGGATGGTTTATGGGGTAGAGTAACATATAAGTTTTGTAGGTGTATATGGGCCGGCCGAGGGAGATGTACGACTTAAAACTCATTTTGTACAAGATGTATTAGTATATCACCCACGTAGTTTACCAAATGTACGATAATAGGGGGAGACTGGAATTGTGTAAAACGACGAAAAGATTGGAGCCTCGAGGAGCGGGTTGTTGCTTGGGGGTTCCCTGGGAGATTTATTGACGAGTGTGGGTTTAATGGATGTGTGTGGGGGGGGGGGCAATGTGGAGCATACTTTCATTAGACCCAGATTATGCGGTGAGATTGGGTAAATGTACGTGTCTAGTGCGGTTAAGTGCGGAGAGTGAGTGGGATAAATGTGTTTTTTTCGGATCAAAAGGAGTTGTAATGGATGTAATATTGAGGGCGTGCCTAGAAGGGGTCCGTCATTTTGGAAATTAAATGTAAAGTTTTTTGAAAGAGAGGAAATCGTTTGTCCCTTTTTGGGGATATGTGGGAACGCCTTGTGGTTGAAGCACCTGGAGATGGGCTTTGGTTAATTTGGGGAAAATGATACCAAAAAGCGAATTAAGGAATTTTATATTAGTCAGGGGGTGAGATATAATCAGTTACAGTATGGTTTCCAACGATATTTAGAGGGGCAGTTGTGCGACTGCTATGTACAAGCGAATGCTAATTATCCTGTTACAGAAATTGAACGAATTAAGGAGCAACTACGAAATTTACAAAACGAAAGGTTTGATGGGGAAAGGCTTAAGGGTGGAATCGAAGAGGTTTTGTGGGGAGATCGGCCGTCGGCGTGTGTGTTGAGGAATCAACACAGACGTCGCAAAGCAATGGAGTTTTTTTTTTTTTTTTTTTTTTTTTTTTTTTAAAAACACAATACACATCATACATGTATGCTATACTTAGGTTACATAAACAAAGAAACGTGATCCATTAAATAATAAAAACAAACAACTTCACATTCCTTATCCCAGCACTAAACTTATACATAAGAAAAACACGTTCATCTGTAAATGCTTGATTCCCCCTCCAAAGTGCCCAACCAGCACACACAACATACATGTAACTAAAAACAGCCACACCTTACATACAGTGGTTTATATATCCATAAAATAACAGCCAGTACTTATAACAAAAGCAAATAATCCAAAGAAATGTACACTTATTAATATAATGAAACTTATAAACAAAGACATATCATATAATCCAATTCGTTGAACACTCATTAAAATTGTAAAATTAAACTTTATACACAAAGACAAAATACTAAACACCTCAAAAATTACAATAAAATAAAGTGACAAAAAAAGCCATTTCCACACCTTACCACAGAGAACTAACACACCTATTAAAATAACAAGATTACACACTCTTTTACATACACATTATTATTAGTGTGTTAACAATGCTTTGAGTGTCCTTCTGTAGTTGTCTCACTGACAAAGATCATTTACCTTATTAAAACATACAATAAAATGACCTCTTTCTTCAACACTTTAAACTAAAACACACACACAAAAAACCCCAATACCCACATCTAAACATGTCATCCCTCCCAAAACAACTCTCAGACAATCCTACCACATTTACATCCTTCATTAGGCATAATCCCTCTAGAAAAAGGAAAAGGCCATAAACTTAAGTAGCCAAATTACTGAGTCCCCTTACCGTTATATTTCTAAAACCTCCGGAAACGCAGTCGCCAACCTTTACCATAAAAGTTTAATTTCTGCATACCGTCATAAATTCCGCCACAATTCCCTTTAAACCCTAAATCCCCCCATTTTTTTCCTCAAGCCCCAGGAATAAAACAAGAAATCTTCAAATGACAGAATGGCTCTTTTTAACAACCTCAGAACCCCCCTTACCTCTAAAGTTAGGCCGCGAAGCTACACATTGCCCCACCCATTAACTTGAAGACTCTACCACCACACCCTACCTGCCCCAACTTCTAAAAAAAAATATACGGCATAAAAAAGCTGTTCCAAATTCTCACAATTTCGCATTTCCTCCTTTACAAACCCAAATCACACAAAAAACCCTGCTTTGAGCAAAATCCCCATTACAAACTATAAACAAAAACTCCCTACCCTAGGCATTAATTTAAGTTTTTGAAATCATGCCAAATCGTCCCCAATCATACAAAGGGAAAATACCGCCACCCCTGCATCACTTCTGTTTCCTACTTATCTCACCAACCTTTCCCACCTTGAGCTTTTACCTCACCTATTACAACAAAACCCTTAAATATTCTCACATTCATCAGTCCCTCCCTCCCACCATCGTCGACATCCCCACACCCTCCCAACCCTCCACAACTTTTACCCCCCCCTCCCTTACGAAACTTTTGTTTAACATACGGGCCTTTACCCTCGCCCTAGCATCAAAAGCCCTACTCCCCCTCTGCGCACATTCGTCATAACCACCTCTTTACTTAGCCATGCTCGTCCAAAACCCCATAATAACGAAGCACCCTTCTCGTATCTCCTTTATCTCCTGTTCCCGTAAAGGATACACCACTGCCACATTCCACACTTTACTATAAACCAATGAATTTATTATTATTTATTATTATTAATCCGTTGTACAACTTTCTCTCCCACCAATTCTAAATTCCTCCGTCTGGGCCTCTTGCTCATCTGCCATATAAAATAATCCCACAAATTTTCCCACTGTTCAGTCACATCCCATCCAAACTCCACCCCCATTCTACC